TAAGAAGGGGCCTGACCATGAAGAGCTTTATAGGTGAGGAGGAGAATTTTAAATTCTATTCTAAATTTAACAGGGAGCCAATGCAGAGAAGCTAGTACATGAGAGATGTGATCTCTTTTCCTAGTTTCTGTCAGTACTCGTTCAGACATCCAGGTTTTTATGTCCTTAAGACATGTTTGTAATTTAGATAATTAATTATCTAAAGCCCGATGATTAATTTCATCGGGCTTGATTGATATATATAACTGGGTATTATCTGCATAACAGTGAAAGTTAATGGAGTGATTCCTAATAATGTTGCCTAAGGGAAGCATATATAAGGTAAAGCATATACAAGCACACAAACTTGTGGAACTCCATGACTAACTTTAGTGTTTATGGAGGATTTATCGTTAACATGTATATACGATCTGATAATGAATGCTCAGATAATCTTGACAGCTATCTGCTCCCTCCTGTGGAAAACCTCTAGCTGAACATGACTGAGTGCGTGTGAGGTCTAAAGCAGCAGGTGGCGATGATGATGATGATGATGATGATGATGATGATGACCATGACCTCTGTCTTCCCGTCCTGTCAGAATGTTGCAGCATGGACAGCTGATGATCTGCTGCTGTAGACCTGAGGAGCATTAAGACTCTGTAGACACTTGAATGGATGAAGCGGGGAAAGCTTTGTTGATTGGACAGCTGCTTCCTGGAGGCGGGGCCAGCAGTGCCGTGTCACAGCATAAGAGATGTCAGTCACATTATTGAAAGCTGAGTCCGCCGGATGCAGCCGGGGTCCACGTCCTGCGGTGTCTGAGCCTCCTCCTCCTTGCCTGGATCCGTTCCCTCAGCACCATCCAGGACCAGCCACTTCCTCTTATTTATTACCAACTAAATTATTTATTGATGAGTAGTTCACTGACTTGTGCTAGGCTGTGACGTAGCAGCGTCTGTGGAGGGTGTGTGTTCTTAGTTTTCTTTACATGAAGAAGCTTTTTTTCCTCTTTCACCCCCTGAACCTTTGAAGAGATTTTACCTGCAAGAAAACATGGATGGATGTAACACCCCCTTGAACAGTATCTTTTAAATGCAAATTCTATGTTATCTTTTTTTTACACAGAATACATTTTATTCCCTTCAGCTTTCCTGCTTATAGCCAGAGAAAGATTAGTGTTTTATGAGCATGTTGCATAGGATTGCACAGGACAATGTATTTGGTGGCTAACTCGCACTATCTCCTGCTATATCTGTTAAAGTACAGTGCTCGGCTGCCTTAGAGAGTATACAGCAGCTGGTATGTGGAACCCTATAGAGTTCAAATTAGCTGTCAACCCTTACCTCTGAGTGTGGATTATCTGAGTGTAGTTTCCATCATGCCGTCAGTGCACATTTCCTCTTTATTTTTACGTCTTTGCTCTGCTTTCACTATTGGCTCTTTGTTTCCCTTGCAGCCACCTGTCTACGTACCAACAGCAGCCTCCATATGGTTATCTTTTGGTTTGGGTTAGCTGTTACATGTTCTAAGTTTCATTTTTCACTGTGTTTATTTTTTATTTCCTACAAGTGGAGCTGTAACATTTAATGAGAGAGACTTCCAGCTCAACTGTGAACTGTTTTAGATAAGGCTGGTGTTATTCTCTGTTTCATATTGTCAACAAATCCCATGAAAAGACCGGAACTGGTGTGTTTCTTTCTTTTTTTTTTTATACTTTGTGACTTGCTCCAAGCCCATCGGTTCCTACTGAGGACATAAATCAGCTCACAGATATCATTTCTTATTAAATTGGTTCAGTCATTTCCTGAAACTGCTGCCGACGGTAGTTCTTAATAAACATAACTGAAACAGGAGCAAATAGCGCATTTGTTAAGGACTATTTTCAGCGGCGGATTCATCCACAGCAGCAGGATGGTGTATGTGGAATTGAGTCAAAATATACTAGTGTGTGTGTGTGTGTATTTTCATGGTAATGAATGAACAGTGTCTCAATGATGTGTTTTTAACCCAATAATGATTTACAGCTGTATTTATTACGTTGAGGAAAAGCACCAGAGAATTCTTTCTGGTTGAACCACAAAAAAACCTGTGGGGTCAAATCAATATTTTAGATTTTACACATGTACCATGCCTTAATTGGTAGACAAAGTTGATATTTCATAAGTTTAACATTAATTTAACATGTTCAAGATATTAAATAATATTTACATTTGATAAAACTCCTTCTGTATCACACTATATCTAGTCATTAGTCACTAGGGCTTAATCATTTTCAGTGTTGGGCTCCTTACTCAAAAAATTATTTTTTTACTGATAACTGTACTTATTACTCCCTGCCAACAGCAATTAGTTACACTACTAGTTATATTACTTTTTTGCTACCCCACAAAATTGGGAATTGTGTCCTTTCTCCCAAAAATTAACTTAAAATTCAGTTTGTTTTTCCTTGTGTTTAAATCTTCCAAGCTTGTTTCGCTTCATGATTGAATTGGTCGGATTTCAAATCAATAGGAGGGTTCCAACAAAATTAAGGTTATATCTAATTATGTTTTGGGGGGTAACTGTAATATAATTACTGATATTTATTAGTAATTAGCCTACAAACAGACAAATAAGCTACATCAGGCTTTGATACAGGCACAGTACTTAGTTATATACATTCATTGTTTTTTGGTCAGTACATGAGATTTGTTCATTACTAAAAAAAAAAAAGAGAGAATTGCCAGCCTTATGACACAGGACACTGAGTAACAGAATGATGGAGTGTATCTTTAACAATCAGTGGGTAACACATTTGTACACAAGTGTAACATAAACTTATTATGAGCTTCTACAAAGTGTTTCCTTTCAGAGAGTCAAAAGAACAATCTTGCCTGATATGATGTTCTATGTAATGTGCTGTATATTTGTATGTTCTGGCATGTATTCTGAGGCTGTGTACAAACGGCAGACAGGATGTTTCACAGGGTTCCCACGCCTGTTTTTTACCTGTCAGTTTCAAACAGCTACTCTTTGACAACTTCATACCAAATGACTGCACTACTGTTGTAATATAAAGCTGCAAGTTTACACTCACAACTGCTACCACAGGAAATTGGTTCTGAGATTTACGAACTGCAATGCAGCCAAAGTCACATTTCAGCCTGCTTCTTTCAAACTGCTTCTACAGATTCTATTTAGAACTTTATTAGAGTTATTTTTCCAAAAGCATTCTTGTCCTGGACAATAGCTGCAGAACTGTCAGGACAGTGGGAACCCTGTTTATCTGCCCAGACAACATCACAGCCATCACCAGCTTCAAACTCTGCCATCACAGAACACACACGCTAGCAAAATAACGATAGATGTCACACACACACACTTGATTCAGACACAGATGTGGTGTTCTAGTTTCTGCCTCTGCGATTTTCTTTAGTTTGTTTCTTGAGTATTTCAGGCTTCTCTTCTTTTCTCTTCTCGCTGTAAGAAGCCAAAGTAGGAACTTTTGTTTGCTTGCAGGCAGTTGTTGCCAGAAACCATTTTACATTTTAAATGTTATTACAAAAAGTGATTGTACTGTTCTGTATTGTTCTGTAGGAGAAGTGATATGTATGCATATTTTAAATAAAGCATTCAGGGTTTTAAAATGTGCTTTACTTTGAAATGTCCCTCACTTGATCTGTACTTTTTATGTCTTGATCATGGGGTGTCTTTAAGGTGGAGACTTTAAGGCGTGGCACAAATATTGGCTGATTTAATCACAAACAATCACATATATTAATATTTGTATGGAAAAGCCCCCAAATTAAGTAATTAGTATTAAGAACTCAAAAACCTTAGCACATTAGTAAAGCACTAAATAGAAATACCTAGAGGTGGCATTAGAAATCAATACACTGTTGCATGTCGTTTTTATTGAACTTAAGCCTATCTGGATCTAAGTGTAGCTATAACATTAATTATGTTATTTTCATTATTTTAATTGCATGTGTTAAATTTTGACCCAAACTGGGGTGACAGAGGAAGAGTAAGTTGACTTTTAAACATCCATTTATATACAAAAGTAAATATAATATTAGCATGTTTACTTTTTTTCTATTAAAGGTCCAGTGTGTAGGATTTAGTAGCATATAGTGGTGTAGTTGCAGATTGAAATCCTCTCACTTCACTCCTCTTCAAAGGGATAAACTATGGTGGCCATAAAATGCATGAAAAATCACCAGAACGGAAACTAATCATTAATACACAGTCATACATTGATGACCAGCATCGGGAGCAATTTGGGGTTGAGTGTCTTGCTCAAGGACACTTCGACATGCAGCGAGAGGAGCCAGGGATCTGATTAGTGGACGACCCGTTCTAGACCCTCTGAGCCACAGCCCCTTCTTACCTATATGTGTTGATTTTATTTTTGAAAATGTCTATTTCAATTTTAACAAGCTAATGTATTTAATTCCTTAGCATTTTACATGTACAGTATATAGTACTCAGCTAGAAAGGTTGTTTTCAGCTTTTTGTTCTCATAAATGAAAAAAAAATCCCCATTACATTTGGGGATTGAGGAAAACATAAGGAACAAAACAGCCAAAGTGACTTCTCTAATAGTTGCCAAAGATTTCAGCTCAATGCTACACGAAGAAAGAATTAAAGATTCAGGAGTTACAGCTAAATGAAACACGATAGAGGTGTAACCTCAACTCCACTTCAAAAAGATGATTAAACATTTATCCTTCCATCCTGTCTCAATTCATAGATTGTTTCACAGTGAAGAGCTGCAAAGTTAGCACTTCTTTAGAACCCACTCATTAAAAATCCAATAAAGACGAAAAACTTGCCTTTGATTTTTATTTATGAAACACCACACTTCCTTCCAAAAACAGAAACTTAACACTGCGTACGACAGTTTAGTGTGATATCAGACATGAGTTTGTTCACCAGCAGTCCTCCCAGTTCACCCACACTGAAGAGAGAAATGGCTCCAGAATACCTGCACATGGCTCACACAAAAGGCTGTAACACATAACAGTGTAGGAGTGCACACACGCATCACTGTTCCCAGACAGTCAAACAGGGAATGTCAGACTTTAATATGCGGTGTGTGTTCGATGCTGAAGTCAGTAAACATCAGAGCATGATTCAAATTCTTACTGTCAGAATACAACATCAGAACTTACACACAGTATCATGATTTCAGACTGAATAGAACAACCGTTTATATGGCAAAACACTGTGTGTGGGTGTGTGTGTGTGTGTGTGTCTGTGTGTGATTGTCTTTCACTCTGTGCCGTACCTGACTGATCAGACTATCACAATTAATGATACACATACTGAGGCAAATATGACTGTAGCTTTTGTGTGTGTGTGTGTGTGTGTGTGTGTGTGTGTGTGTGTGTGTGTGTCAGTCTGGCAGGTCACATACAGTATGCATATAAGGTCTCAGAACAAGAGTTTTATGCTGCAGTACCATCACAAGCCACTGGTTTCAACATGTTGTTTAGAACACTTTGATCCTTCTACCAAACAGAACGTTATGTAAGCTTCATGTGAAAGCAGCAGGAGTTCAGGAACATGTAGGAGCAATAACAGAAAGACAGCAAGACCATGGCACACAGACAGGTAAGACAGAGGGGATGATGACAAGGATGTGAGTCACCAGATAAACCCAGCTGTACACCTATGGCAGTGCTCTCCACTGCTGTAACCTCTTTTACTTCTCAGTTTAATACTGAAGGCCCACATATGATCTACTTAAACAAACATTAGTGAGAAGACTATGGCTATTTCTATGTAGTTATTCTGCCTGCCACCAGGCAGTTTCACCTTGAAAATCAAATGAAATGAAGGAAACAGCAACCGTCTTTAGTCCATGGGCCGCCAGAACCAACACAAAATGAAAGCTCCTTGTAGGGACTTTGTTAGATTTGATTTACCTTTTGTTGATTGTTTTTATTGTAACTTAAGTTATTATTACTTAAAGCTGCAGTCGGTAACTAAGATTGAATGATTGACAGATTCTGAGTAAGATTGGTTGCTTTCATTCAGCCACAGTGGATTCTTGCAAATACCATTACGAGCACTAGGAGGAGCCAGAGGAAGCTTTTGTTCACAGATTATCTGTCTCATGTTCTACTGTCAGGAAGTGTCAGCAAATTTCAAAAAGCTGTTTTTATATAAGTTACCGACTGCAGCTTTAAAGTTGGATTTAACTGATATGTTAACTTGTCACATATCTGTATGCACTGTGCCTGTGCAAGAGGAAACACCTTGCCTGTGGTCTCGACCAAAGAACAGCGAGGAGTCAAACATTTCATCGTCTCATTGTAAGGGTTGCAACTATAAAGTATTAAACAAGACTAGTGGGAAAAAAAAGGCGAAACGCACAACTGACTGGCCAATCACAGAGCCCCCCCAATTCAACATGTTGAGTCAGCTGAGTGTTCACTGATATAGAACAGCTTGAGTGATGAATAAAGGTCAAATGTGAAACAAACAGCATTATAGTGACATACTGTTTGCTTGTTTGGTACAGAACCCAACAGATCCGGGTTTTAATAGTTGTCGTAATATCTGCCAGAAAAAAATGACTGAATATTTGGAAAATTATTGTTTTAGCATACCGTGCAGCTCTTTGAGACAATAATGGCCTTTTCCCAAGACCATGCTCTGACTCAGTATTGTGCTTGGTAACATATTTCTTCATTCTTACAGTCACTGGAAGCTGTTGTACTGACTCACTGCTGCAGACACAGGTTGAATCAAATAAATTACAGTCCACATCACAATAACACAGCAGTTGGAGGAGATTTTGTTGTGATGGTACTGGAGTGTTAATGTTTAAATATACATATTGGATCAAAGTCAATACTCTTTAAGACTGCAGCGATGTGCTGTTCTGAAAGATTGTATGCATACAGTAGAGGAGCAGGATGTGAGGGGGACACAGCACTCCCTGGAGAGGGCCTGAGAGCTTGCTGGGTGCTTCAGTCATTGATCAGAGCCAGGATCATGCTGGAGAAACAGAGGAGAAAGATCTGTGTTAATAAAAAAAAATATTATACAGTGTATGCTGCTTTCTAAACGTTTCCTTACATTAGGGTTTCTGCAGGTTTCAATTACCACTGTCCCATTAATTAGACTGTATTCATTAGACTAAATTAGACTGTGGCGGCCCACCTTTGCGGCTGTGGCTCAGAGGCAGAGCAGGTCGTCCCCTAATCGATGGACTTTGCCATCACTGAGTGAATGTGTGTGAAAAGGGTGGAATCGTGGCACGTATGTAAAAGCGCTTTGAGTGGTCGGAGGACTAGAAAGGCGCTATATCAACCACGTACAAGGTACCATTTACCATTTCTACTCCTACCTGTACTGATCTAAATGACAACTGCCCGAAGCTCTGCAAAGAACTGAGAGAGGTGGTGGGTTCTTTGACACAGGAATATTTAACAGCAGTGCTGATGTCATTGTGTAAACCACAATGGTTCAATCAGCTACATCATTTAACAATGAGGCCTTCCTCACACACACCTCACCCTGCTCATAGAAAAACCTGAATTGTCGGGTTGAAAACATTGAAAATGCGAGTTGTTTGTTGGGTGACTGAAGGAAAACAGCAAGGTGAGCAGATTAAATTTGATAGTTTGTGATTAAGTAGTAAATTCATATTCATTCAATTCAATCTCAATTATTTTGTATAGCGCCAATTCATAAACAGAAGTTATCTCAGGGACACTTTTCAAATAGAGCAGATCTAGACCGAACTCCTTATAACATTTTACAGACGACCCAACAGTACCACCATGAGAAGACTTGGCGACGGGGGCAAGGAAAAACTGCCTTTTAACGGGCGAAACCTACGGAAAGACCCTTCGGTCTAGGTGGTGGTCATCTGCCTTGACCAGTCTGGGAGAAAGAGAGAGAGGAGATAGAGAGAGAGCAGAGAGGAGACAGGAGACGACAGAGAGACAAACAGATTGTACAGCAACAACAGAAAGCAACAATACATTACAGTACATGATCGATGACTGATCATGAAAAAGACCAGGTGACGACGGCCGACAGCAGCAACGACAGGCGGACAGCGAGCGCGACAACAGCAACCGCAGCAACAACAAGAACAAGAAGTCAATAATAAAATAATCTACTGGAAAAGGGTAATTTAGCCTATTTTCCCAAATGTTTTCAAATATTTGTCACAGTTCTGCTGTCATACTGCAGGAAACAGACCTACTAATGGTAATTGGACCTGTACTTGTACAGACTTTCTTCAAAGCGCTTTTAACCTACATTCACAATCCACCCTTTCACACACATTCACTCATTGATGACACAGCATTGGGGTTCAGTATCTTGCTCAAGGATACTTTGACATGTGACAGGAGGAGCCGGGGATCGAACCAACAACCTTCCGATTAGTGGTGTCAAGTAAGTTGAGATCCCTGACCCGCTAAAACCACTTTGGAAAGCAAAGGACTTTCCATCGAGTAATGGAGAAAGAATATAACGGAGCATTAGGGACTCTCCATCTGAATAACGCAATGCACAGAGATTATAATAACCAAAAGCTGTATAATGATTGAAGTTGATTCTATATTACAAAATGAAATATGTAACAATGAAAGGAAACATGATTATATGATTGTAACTGATTATTTGATAATTAATGAGTATAAATGCATAGTAGTAAGACAGAACTATGGAAAGTAAGGTCAAGAGAGCAAATCATGTTGAAGTGTTGAGTAACTAGGTGAAAAGGCACGTATTGCAACCAGACATGTCTGGTGCGGAAAGAAAGGGGAAGTTGACCACACACAGCGTACACACATCAGACTTTGCAGACTTTGGACAAAGTCAGGAGTTTCAACAGCAACCAACAGTACGGCAGGTAAGAAAGAACTGTATTTGGCTGATACATCTCTTCCCTCTCTCTCTACAAGCTGGACATTTGACCATTCAGCTACAAGCCTTTTCATTAAGGTTTGAAATTTTAATCATTTTTACTGAATATCAGGAACATAGTTAACTTTTATCAGTAGAAGTGAACAATCAGTTTTTAATCAATTCATGCTGTATGCTTGCCCTTGCTAAATCTTGCAATAAACAAAAAACATTGGAGCTAAAGTATAAACTGTGGACATTGGATTTATGATATCTCATTAGGCAGTGATTATTAGGTAGTGTATTCAATAACTTAACGGTTCTAGCAGGTTAATCTAGCCAAATAAATTAAACAGACCCTTGGGGCTTACTGTAAAAGCCACTAAAAATAATCCTAGCAACTAACAAGTGCACAGATCAATAAGAGGAGAGCTGCCGTTAACGGACGTGATTAGTGTGGTATTTGACTCTAGGGCTATTCGGTCAGGTGCTGCACTAGAGTGAGCAGGGTAGGTGTTTGGATGAAGGCAGTTAATTAGAAGCTAGGCGTGTCTCCTCGCCACCAGCTTAAATAGTTTTTTGAACCTAATAGGGTAATACTCATAGGCAAGAGGCTCGGACCCTTTTAAACGGAGAGCTGGTCCAGCACCACCTATACGGGGGTAACTCGGGATCTAACACGGTTAGGTTAAAAGTTGAATACAAACAGTTTGTGGTGGTGTAGGAGATCTCTCTCTGCAGGTGCAACTCCTGGCGGCTCCCCTCAGGTGATGTCAGTTGTGATCCTACTTCCTTCAGCTTG